ATGGGCTGCAGAACAATGTCCAGAATTGGTGTCTACCTACAGCCTGGAAGCTATCAATGTACCATCGAAAGAAGCTTAAAGCTTACCCAGGGGCCCATGAAATGATGCTGTGGGTGAAAAGTGCTTGCTTTGAAGCCTAACTATGACCTGAGTTTACTTCCTTCTACCAAACTGAAGGCTGCTGCAGGCGACTGAATCCCCTGTGTCCTGTGTCCAAAGGAGACTTGAGGATGTGACAGCTCCTGTTCTCCTCTCTCTGCCAGGAAATGCAGGGCCCAAAGCCCAGGGCCCTCCCCAAACTCCTCTTTGAGAACCTAGAATTCCACCAAGTAAAGATGGAAGGAGAGACCCAATTCTACAAAGGTGTCCCCTGAGCTGAACACACATGCCACAACACACAAGCAATACAACCCCATCACCAACACAACAGTAACAAGATTAAAACAAAGCAAAAAATTTAAAAACCTAGCCTGGTGGGGGATGTCCTTCTGTATATATGTTTCTCATATTGGTTGGTGAACAAAAAAACACTGTTTAGCCATAGAGGCAGGACTAGGAGATGAGGAGAATTCTGGGAAAAGTAGACAGAGGTAGCCCACAAGAAGAGACGACATGTAGCTGCCATAGGAGTAACAGGTCCGAGCATTCTCCAGTAAGTCAAAACCATGTGAAAAGACATAGATTAGTAGTTATGGGTTAATAATTAAGACAGAGCTAGCCAATAAGAAGCCCTAGCCACAGGCCAACAATTTAAAGTTAATATAGAATCTGTGTGTTTATTTGGGACTAAGAAGGGCAGCAGGACCTAGTAGGACAAGAAAATGCCCAAAACAGAAGCCAGTTGCTCTGGCCCTGCAGTCAGGTAAGAGATCAAAACCCAATCTAAGTCACAAAGAACAAGACAGTGATGACCATTCATTATGACAGGGTCTTTCAACAAAACCAAAACTCACTGATAAGGCAGGCCAGCTTGCTCTGGGGAATTCCATCTACTGCTAGAGTTTGGAATTTCATGCAGGCTGACACACCCACCCAACATTTACTTGGGTTCTGAGGGTGCCAGCTCTAGTTTTCATGCTTGCATGACAAACACATGAGCTACCTTCCTACCCCCTTAATTTTTTTTTTAAGTATTTAAAGCACCCTGTTTGATCTAAACAGTCTCTATACAAAGTTCTATAATCACAGAAGAAAAAAGGTTGTTAAGAAAAAAAAGACAAAGCAGGGCATTGGTGGCACACGACTTTATTCCCAGCACTCAGGAGTCAGAGGCTACAACAGCTAGTTCCAAGACAGGCTCCAAAGCTATACAGAGCTTCACCTCATTTTCTGATACTGTATCTTTAGATGAACCTGGAGCTCATCCATTCAGCCACACTGGGCAGCCAGTGAGCTCCAGAGAGACATGTGTCTATCTGTCCATCTCCCTTGCCAGTGCTGGGGCTCTGAACTCCGGCTCTCACGCTTGCATGACTGACTAAGCCATCTCTTGGGATCTTCCTTCCCTTTCCTTTGATAAATACCTACTAGTGGATAACTGGGTCATACAGTATCTATATTTTCTGTTTGGATGATAATGTCCTCCATGCTTCTCCCCATAATGGCTATGGTAATTTACATTCTTTTTCCCTTACACCCACACAAGTGGTTTTTCTTCCGTTATTGCTGTTGCTAATTGGCTCTCCAACAAAGTGGTGTGTCACTGTGGTTTTGGGTGCATTTCTCTGATAGTGAATCTTGACAATTCTTCATAGGTTTGTCATGTTTTACAGAATGTCTGTTCAGGTCCTTTGACCACCTTTTCTTTATTGTGTAATTTAATTTGATTATTGTTTTTAACATGCGTTACACATGTGTCTCTGTGTGTATCTGTATGTATGGGTGACCCAAGAGTCCAGATGAGTGTGTTAGGAACAGGAGTTACATGTGGTTATGAACTGCTGGACATGGGTCCTGGAAACCAAATTCCAGTCCTCTGCAAGAGCAGCATACACTCTGTAACAGCTGTACTGTCCCTAATCCCATCACCCCTTTTACTGAAACAAGATCTCATCTGTACCCTACCCTGCTCTGGAACTCACTACATAGTCCAGGCTTGCCAAGAACTCATGGCAAACCTCTTGCCTCAGCCTCCTGAATGCTGGATTAGTTAGATCAGTCCCTAGTTGCGCAGGTCTCAGTGTCTGGGTTTTGGACTTAACTGTGCCACTTTCATGCATGTTTACCGTTACATTTGGTTCTTTGTTAACCCATTCTTCCATCCTCATTGTCCCCTAGTTTGTGTGTGGTACAGCATGAGGGCTGCAAGCATTTTCGAAGGGCCAAAGAAGGATGCTAGGTTCCTGCTCTATTACGTCTGTCATATTCCCCCAAAACAAGGTCTCTCACTGAATCCGGAGCTAGGCTGGTAGCTATCAAGTCCCAATGGTTCACCTCGCTCCACCTCCCATAGCACTGAAGTCACAGGCACTGGTGTACCCAGACATGGGTTTGCACAGGGCACATGGTGCTCTTCCAAGACCAGAAGTTAATTCCCAGAATCCACATCAGGCAGCAAAATGGTCACCTGTGATGCCAGCTCCAGGGTATCCAATGACACATCCTCCGGCACCCACCCAAATGTGACCCACACATACTCTCTCTCACACCTCTCTTTGTCTCTGTCTCTGTCTCTCTCTCATACACACACACCTCACACACACACATTAAAAATAATTTTCTCTCAGAAAAGTGATATATTTTTAAAACAGAAAATAGTGCTAGGCATGGTGGTGTACACATTTAATGCCAGCACTTGGGATCTCTGTGAGTTTGAGGCCAGGCTGGTCTACAAGGTACAAGGTAAGTTCTAGGAAAACTGGGACTACACAGAGAATCCCTATCTTGGAAACAAAACAAAACAAAAACAGGGAAACACTTGGTGAGAATGAAAAAGAAAACAACTGACATGCTCAGCCCGGCCACCATCCTGTCAACCACAGTGATATAGGAGGCGATCTCCACAGCTGTGCACTCCCAGGTCCCTCTGCTGTGGAATGTTAGAAGCAACTGGGCACAGCCTCTTCACTTGCTGACATTAAATTTAAAAAGTCCACAAAATTTTGTTTCTTAGCCACTTGCATTTGACACTGTGAGTTTCATCCTTGATCCTGGAGACCAGGATGACCCTGTCTTGCAAACAGTTTCACACCTCTCTCTGCCTTAGAAGCTGTTTCCCTCTCCAACAGTGTTCTTAGTTCATGGCTCCTGGGGGGGGAGCAGAGTCCTGAGGAACTGCTTCTGCCTCCCACACCAGTACACTCATTTTATTCTAGAAGCTCAGTTATATGGAGGCCCCCATGGTCCAATAGCCCTTGAATTGCCCCACTACTCTGAAAATCCAGGACTATGTTGAGTAACATCGATGAAACTGAACTGTAGTCTTCCCCATTCAGTAAGGAGTTCACCGTGGGTTTTCCATATATGGTACTGTGTTATACACAGTTCCTCTCTATATATTTTTTTTTTTTTTTTTTGAGCCAGGATTTCACTATGTAGCCCCAGCTGGCCTGGAACTCACAGACACCCACTTCTGCCTTTGAAGTACTGGAATTATTTTGTATGTAATGGTTTTAAAGATTTGTTTTTTAATTTTTAACTATTTATATGTACATGTGTGTCTATGTGTATGTATAACCCTCAGAGGTGGGGATCAGATCCCCCAGAATGGAGTCCCATGTCAGGAACCAAACTCGGTCAGGTCTTGACAAGAACAGTTAAGTGCTCTTAACCACTGAGCCACCTCTCCAGCCTCAGATTTACATTTTTATTTTATGTACATGTTTGACTATACATGTGAGTGCAGTAACTGTAGAGGCCAGAAGGGAGCATCAGATTCCCTGTAGCTACAAAGGGTTGTGAGCTATCACTCAGATGCTAGCACCTGAACCTGGGTCCTCTATAAGAACAGGAAATGAGCCAGGAGGTGCACTTGGGAGGAAGAAGCAGATGTCTAAGTGGAGGCCAGCCTGGTCTATATAGAGTGAATTCTGGGACAGCCAGGGCTATGTAGAGAAACTTTATCTCAAAAAAAGAGAGGAAGAAAGGGAGAGGTATCAGAGCCTGCTCCAACAAATCAGACAGGATACCTGGGTAGGGGTGTGAGGATTGAGAAACAGCAGATAAAAGAAACAAGAGAGAGAAACTCAGGACAGATTCCGGAAGACAGCCTTTCAGCACACGGGACAGCCCCGAGTTTAATTTAGAACCTGCTTATACACAGATTACAGGCAAAGCAGAACAAAGAGTCAGCTAACTAGCCCCCTGCTCTGTCCTAATCCAGCAGGCAAGCTTACTATCTATCACGTGAATCCTGCTGGAAGCAGCAGCTTCATTTTCTATCTCTGTATGCCTTTTCTGGCTGGCATTCACCAGCCTGCCTCTTAAGACAATGTGTCATTTGCCCAAGGGCTAACCAGAACTTTCTCATGGCTCTCAAGGAGACTGAAATAAGCAAGCATGAACTCTAATGTCTTATATTCAACATAGACTCCAGATGGAAACTGAGTCACTTGTGGGCCCCTTCAAAAATCTTACTGTTAATTACCCAAGAAACTGGAAATTGAAGTGGTCTGGCCTATCAGGTCTGAGAAGAGTGGTGTAACTGTCAGGAAGGCTCTGGGGCTAAGGGTGCGGTTGCGGGAGGCGGGACCACAGAGCTCAAAAAGTAAACAAGCTAGAGCCGCCTCAAGGTTCCAGCCGGAGAAAACGCAAAACCCCCAACACCCCCGCAGCAGCCACTCGCCCGCCTGCCTGTGGTCCGGGATTGGGGGCGGGGAACCCCACATTTCCAGGAAAGAAAGCTCTCGGTGGGAAAGCCCTGTTGGAATTCCTGAAAAAAGACACACCCCTAAACCCCGCCTTGTCAGATCCGCCCCTCTCAGTTACCAACAGCTCCCCACACCCTACCCCATCACTACTAACTGAAAGTTTCAGTGACTTAGATCCTGGCTTGTGTCCTAGTTCCTATACGCAGTTCTAATTTCTCATAAGTCTAGTTTCTCAGGGGAGGACAGACTTGAACGGTGCGCCTGACTCCATGTGGGCTCTTATCTTCTGTTTCCTGAGTCGCCCCCCGGACAGCGGAGCGCGTGAGTTGGGTGTGGAAAGGGGTTTTGTGCCACATCATTGGGCACATTCAAGGCAGGAAAGACCCCCAACCCCGACCTCAGGCCATTTTGCAGAAGGGTTGCCCTTGGGAAGTGGAGATGAGATGGGAAGATTTAGGTTTCAAGGCCATTAAACACTTGGCAAATTAGAAGCCAGGACCTACAGAAAACTCAGGCCAGGCAGTGTGGCACACACCTCTGATACCAGTACTCAGGAAGCAGAGGAAGGCGATCTCAGTGAATTCGAATTCGAAACCAGCCTGATTTACAGAGTTCCAGGACAGCCAAATATACAGAAAAACACTGTCTCGAAAAACCAAAGAGAGACAGACAGAAAGGGAGGGGTCATGGGAGGGAGGCAGGCAGGCAGGAGAGAGAGAGAGGGAGAAAAGGGAAGGAAGCTCAGTGATTAAAAAGAGTGACACATGCTGACTATGACCATGTGGTCCAGCTCCCAGAAAAACCTTAAAAACAAACAAACAAAACAAAACAAAGACACTTACTCATAGCTCTGGCTGTCTTCAAACTCACCACATAGACCAGGCTGACCTTGAAGACACAGAAGTTGGGCTTATAGGCATGCACCACCAAACGAGGTCGGGCCTTTCCTTACATTCTAATGTGTTTGCTTGCATGTGTGTATGTATGCTGTACCCAGAGGCCTAAGAGGGCATGGGACCCCTGGAGCTAAAGTTACAGGCTCCCTGTGGGTGCTCAGAGCCAACCACAGTCCTGTGGGAGAGCTGCAAGTGGTGCATTTTTGAACTGCATGTTTACCTATAAAGTATACACTGTCCACATTAGAGTTCACATGTATTTGTTTGTGTGTCTGCATACACATATGTATAGCATGCATCACATTCTGCAGCCCAGATGTGGAGGTCAGTTCTCTCTTTCTACCATATGAGAATATCAGGTGAAAGTGTGTACTTGTGGCAGGCCATGCCAAAGCATGCTGCTAAGAGAACACGCCACACACACTGATCTAGTGTAAAAGGGAAGGCCATCTAGAAATGGGGACATGAGAGAGGCAGGAAGGCAGGCAGGCAGACAGACAGACAGAGAACAGGCCAGAGAGGAGAGAGAGAGGACTGCAACAACAGATAAGCACTTTTAAGGGTTGCAAGTGTCACGTAGGGACTCATGCAGCTCGAATAGGGAAGTATGTAGTAGCTGACGGAAGGTGGAAACGTAAAGGACTCCTTTAAGAAACAAGGAGAGGAGTGGGAGAGCAATGAGAGAGATACCTTGATAGAGGGAGCCATTGTGGCGTTAGAGAGAAACCTGGTGCTGAAGAAATTCTCAGGAATCCACAGGATGACCCAGCTAAGACTCTGCAATAGTGGAGAGGGTATCTGAACCCGCCTTCCCCTCTAATCAGTTAGTGACTACCCTAAATGTTACATAATATCTGCATCCAGTAACTGATGGAAGCAGATGCAGTGACCCACTGCCAAGCACTGGGCTAAACTCCTGGAGTTCAGTTGAAGAGAGGGAGGAGGGTTCATATGAGCAAGGGGGGGGGGGTCAAGATCATGATGGGTAAAAACAGAGACAGCTGACCTGTCCTAGTGGGAGCTCACAGACTCTGGACTGACAGCTGGGGAACCCGCATGAGGGACCAACTAGGCCCCCTGAATGTGGGTGATGGCTATGTGGCTTGATCTGTTAAGGGTAGTGGCGGGTGTCAGTCGGGTTGGGGGTTATCCTGGCAGTGGCACCAGGACCTATCTTAGGGTCATGAACTGGCTTTTTGGAGCTCATCCCCTATGGTGGGATACCTTGCTCAGCCTTGATACAGAGGGGAGGGTCATGGTCCTGCCTCAACTTGGTATGCCAGACTTTGTTGACTCCCCCAAAAAAGGAGAGGGAAGGGGAACTAGGGTTAGTATGTAAAATGAAAAAAAAAAAAACTTTAAATAAGAAAGAAAAAAGAGAGACAGAGGCTAAATGGAGTTCAGTTGGAGGAGTGCTTGCCCAGGTCCTGGGTCCATCCCTCCTACCACAAGAAACAGAGGTTGGTATAAAAGGGCTCTGACTGTGGCTCCCAGGGACAGCCAGGTGTGGTACCCCTGCCTGCTCATCTGGGAGTCTCTTGGAGGCTTCAGCAGCTTTGGGTTATAGAGTGTTACAGTGGGGAAGCCTGGCTTCCTATAAGCTTTCTTCTGAAAGCTGAAATGGAGCTGAGATGTGTAGTATCTCACGCCTGTGACCCTGTAGCCCCAGCATTTGGGAGACTGGGGAGAGACTGCTGTGAGCTCTAGGCTACCCAGGGCCTCAGAGTGAGACTCTGCCTGCCCACCCTAACACACGAGAAAAATAACTATTGTATGTCTTCAGGATGTGGGTGGCCTATACTCTACCCCTCCCAAAGAAAGAACAACCACAGTGTTTCAGAAATCCTGCCTGGACGTGCATCAACAGATGACTGGATAAACAAAACACAGTTCAAATACACAGAATTTGGTTCAATACAATGAAATCTCACTCAGCCATACAATGGAATTGCATACCATCTTCACTCAAAATTAAATTATGGTGTCAGGGAGAAACGGATGCAACTGAAATCAGTACACTAAGAAGCAGGCCTCAGAAAGACAAATACTACATATTTTCTCATGTCTAGAACTCCAGTTTAAGAAAAATGTGTGTGTGTGTGTGTGTGTGTGTGTGTGTGTGTGTGTGTGTGTGTTGGCCATAATGGTGCACACCTGTAATCCCAGCATTTGGGAGGTAGAACAGAAGGATCAGAAGTACAAGGTCAGCTTCACACAGTGATTTAGAGGCCGGTCTTGGCTACATGAGACCTTGCCTCAATAACAAACATTTTAAAAATAAAGGTAAGATTATACACACACGTGTATATGTGCTTTCGGGGATTGCAAAACTAGGAGGGGAATCATGAAAGGAAAGAAGAGATCATCAAGGAGGCAGGTGACACAGAGCACACAGATAAGACAGCAGAAAACTGACCTGACTAGGAAAGAGCCAAGCAGCTGGAGGAGGCGGCGTAAGGAATGGAGCAGTGAAGAATGACATCACAACCCAATAGCACAGGCTGCTGACACGGTTCACTGGTGAGGAGTACACACTGCACCTGCAGAGGCCTGGGGTGTGTGTGTATGTGTGTGTGTTTAGTCCCCAGCACCCACGTTGGGCAACTCACAACCACTGCAACTCCCCTTTCAGGGTATCCGACACCCTCTTCTGGCTCCGTGGGTGACCATGTGTGTCACATATGTGAAGTCCCTGCACAAGCCAGAAGAAAACATCAGATCCCCGGGAACTAGAGTTACAGATGGTTGTTAGCAGCCATGTGGGTGTTCTGCAAAAGCAACAGATGCCAACTCTCAGGTCCCTAAAATAATTGTTACAAAAAGAAAAAATGCTTGGGGTGAAGGTCAGCGGGAGAGCAGCCCTCAAGCACTTAGAAGTCCTGAGTTCAATCCCCAGAACTCAGAAAGCAAAACCCCAGCATAATGGCACATATGCACGAGACACTAGACAGAAGCCATTACTTTGTGTTCTAACTTATTTGTTTGTCTGTTTATTTACTGGTTTTTTTTGAGACAGGGTTTCTCTGTGTAGCTTTGTAGACCAGGCTGGCCACAAATTCGTAAGAGATCCACCTGCTTTGTGCCTGCCAAGTGCTGGGATCAAAGTCATGTGCCACTACCACCTGGCCCTAACTTCTTTAATTTAAAACAAACAAAAATCTGTGTTACGGAGTAGAGTGGGGGAAGATGCTGCATATATGTGAGGGGCCATGTGCGTGCTGGGACTTAAACTCAGGTCTTCTGTAAGAGTGACCGATGCTCTTAACCACTGACCTGTCTCTCCCACCTCTTATACTTACATTTTCCTAGTTGCAGTGTGGGATTTGACTCGTTTGGCTGGTGGGTTGCTATGCAATTGTCGTTATGCTGCGTACCCTGACTCTTCTATAGTTCACAGGCACACAAAGGCACACACACTCATACCCCCACTCTAGGACTGGGTCCTCCCTCCATCAGTTCCTTACACTAAATCCTGTTTCCCACCTCAGGGTCACATTCTCTGCGTTATTCGTACTCAGCTGTGACTAAGCCAGGTCCAGGAGTCCCTGCATTTTCTGCCACCGGCTTTATAGATGACCAGCCCTTCATCCACTATGACAGCGACAGCATGAAGGCAGAGCCTTCTGTGGACTGGCTGAGGGGAGATCCAGGGTACTGTGATGATGAGACCCAGGTCTTCACCAATCGGATGAAGATTTTCCAGTTGAGCCTGAGAAATGTACAGCAGTACTACAACAGCTCCGGGCCCAAGAGTCAGAGAGCAATAGATGGCTCCCGCCAGCAAGCAGGTATGTGCCTGGAGAACGTGGTGACACAGTTTACCTACCACACTTCCCAGAGGCAGGAGGCCCTCAGTGTCATGACAGATTAGCCATCCCTTGAGAACAGACTGGCCCAGTCTGTTCCCAGAGCTCAGGGTCTGTCCATTCAACACCTGTCAGTCCAAGTCACAGATGTACAACCTCCCAAGCAGGTTCTGAGCATTTGTCTTCAAAGCGCTTACAGCTTCTTTGAGGAAGCACTCATGCTGGGGACCCTTATTACTCCAAGCCAAGTGGCCTTCATTACAGTTGACTTTAAAACTCACTAGAGAATTCTTCAACATAAAAGCTTGTTGTTTTCTTGTTGGTCAGTGGTTGTTTTGGTTCAGTTTGGGTTTTGCTTGTTTTGCCTTTTTTTTTTTTTTTTTTTTTTTTTTTTTTTGAGAGACAGGGACTCATGGAGCCCAAGGATGACCTGTCTGCACCTCCCCACTTGCAGGATTGCAGGTGTACACCCCCACCACCCCACCCTACAAGTCAGTGCTTGTGTTCTCTAGAACCTCACGGAGAAATATACTGGGCATAGCTTGTCCTTTACCGTCATGCTCGTGTGCCATGCTCCTGTCCCTAGTTATTCTTGGGCTCAGGGACTGCTAGCTCAGGAGTCCTGTGGGGTTATGTCCTGTTTCCATGTGCACAAGGCAAAGAGAGTTGCAGGGATGAATGGCCTGCGTGACAACACAGAAAAACCTAAATCTGTGGGTACTGACATGCTTGTCCTATGGGGGGGGCTCCTAGGCCCTCACACCCTCCAGTTCACGTATGGCTGTGAGATTCAAGATGACAGAAGTACCACGGGACATTGGCAATATGGCTACGATGGCAGGGACTACCTGACCTTGGATTTGGACTCTATGCAATATATAGCAGCCACATTCATTGCCAGCTACACCAAGCGGAAGTGGGAAAACAGTGAGTATTGGCTGGAGAAAGACAGCAGCTACCTGAAGAAGGAATGTATACTGTGGCTGAAGAGATACTTGGCCCTGGGAGGAGAGAACTTCTTCCGAACTGGTAAACGCCCCCTCCTAGCCCAGCCCTCCTCTGTGTGGCCAGCAGGCTGAGATTTCACTCTGTAGTTGGCTACTCTAGCACAGGGATGGATGTAGTAGCTAGTCTGAGTGGGGACATTGTGCTAGGGGTGGCTTCCCAAGCAGATGTGGACATTTTTGAGTGTCCTGAACTGTGGTCATCTGCCAGCACCTCTCTGAGGTCTCTGCTCCCTAAATGTGTCCACAAAGGTCCCTGGGATGTCTCCCACTTCTGCCTTTTCCACATGAAGCTGTGCCTACTAGCAGCTATCTGTTTATCACAGACCCTCCCCAGACAAGTGTAACCTACCATCCCATGCCTGAAGGTGACATCACCCTGAGGTGCTGGGCCCTGGGCTTCTACCCTGCTGACATCACCCTGACCTGGCAGAGGGAGGAGGAAGAACAGACTCAGGACATGGAGCTGGTAGAGACCAGACCTTCTGGGGATGGAACCTTCCAGAAGTGGGCAGCTGTGGTGGTGCCTTCTGGGGAGGAACAGAAGTACACATGCCATGTGCAACATGAGGGGCTGCCTGAGCCCCTCACCCTGAGATGGGGTAAGGAGGGAGTGTGGACACAGAACCTATTGCAAGGGAAAGTAGGAGCCCTTCTGGAGACCCTGGGCGGGGCCAGGGCCCTTCATCTTTCTTTTCCTTTTTCAGAGCCTCTTCAGTGCAGTACCCCAACCACAGAAGAGTGTGTTAGGGGCAGCAGATGTGGACATACAGTGTCCAGGGGTGTTCTCCTGCTTATTGTCGGTTTCATAGCAGCTGTGCCTCTTGTTGGAATTGCCTGCTACAGTTTCAAGAAAGGAAAAGGAGTGCCCTGTGTTGGAAAGAGGGTCAAGTTGTAACTCCTGCCATGGGACCACCGTGAGAGGGGAAACACTGCAGGTGAGAGGGGTGTTAGAGACTTCTAACCATGACACTGTCAACGGTGCCACAGCACCATGTCTCTATACCCAGAAAGTTCCAAGGGATGTGAGCCTACTTCTCGTGGAATAAAACATCTCTCTCCCTCAAATGCCTGAGTTTCTTAGGAGAGTTTAAGTGGAAAGCAAACCGGCTCCCAAGTGAATCTGTGAATCTGAGAGATGCATGGAATGGAAGCATATTGTGTGTGTGTGTGTGTGTATGTGTGTGTGCATGCACACATGCACGCACAAGCGTGCACGAGCTCATGCATGCATATATGCATAAATATGCATGTGTGACTATATAACTGTATGAGGATTATAGCCTTTTTATGTATATGTGCATCTGGTACATAAGCATACATGTGCATATATATATTTTGCTCTCAGATAGCCTCACAGTTAACTTCATACTGGCTGTCCCAACTCTACAGAAGAGTTTGTCCCTGAAGATGAGAGGCAACTGGGATGAAATCCGTACCATGGCACAAGCTGAGACTTGATAGCAGTTGCCTTTCTGCACACATGTTTCTCTTACTGGTTAATGAATAAAACACTGTGTGTCTACTGGCCAGACAGGAAGGATGGGCGGGGCTACCAGAGGAGAATTCTAGGAAGTGAGGACAGAGAGGAGTTGTCATGTGAGTCCAGAAAGAGAGGACATGAGTCAGGCATTCTCCAATAAGACCATGTGGAAATACATAGGTTAATAATTATGGGTTAATGTTAAGACAGAGCTAGCCAATAAGAAGCCCAAGCCATTGGCCAAGTTTCATAATTAATATGGCATCCCTGTGCTTATTTGGGGCTTTCACAGCTGTGGGACCAGGCTGGCAGGAAAGAGTGCTCATTACAGAGACTATGTTCCCACTCACCTACAAATGGACAAAAACAGAGACACCTTTAGTTCCAACGATCAAGAGCAGAGGCAGGCAGATCTCTATGCGTTTGAGGCCAGCCTGGTCTACAAAGTGAGTTCCAGGACAGCCAGGGCTACACAGAGAAAAATCCTGTCTCAAAAAACCAAAACACAGGAGGACATTTTTACATACTAGCAAGGTAGAAAATGTATAGGTTTTATTTTAAACACTGAGCCATCTTTTCAGCTCCTAAAATGTAATTGGAATTGTTTTAAAGGGGGCCATGTCATGGAGTACGAAAGTGACTCTAACCATACCTCCTGTCCCTCATCAGTTATAGAGCTCCAAGGTTTAATTCTGGCTTGTCTGCTTTGTCTTCTAACAACTGGGAACAGGATTTTGGTACTTTGCCAAGAGCAAATGCACACTCTTAACTGTTGAGCCATCTCCCCACTCCTAAAAGTTCTATTCTCTCTGCTCATTGGCTTTTGTGTTGACAGGCATCACGGACTCTGGCATCTCATTACATGTCCTGACAGCCATAAGAAACAACCTGGGCTGACGACTCTCCAATAAGTCACAGAGTTAGTGACCTCAACAGGTCCCCTGTAGGAATTCTGTCATCAGTCCAAGTCAATTGTAAGGAACAGCTAGGCCCAAAGGATGTAGTTTTTATTGGAGGGTACGTGACCAGAATAAATGGAGGGAAGAAGCCTGCTCTCTCGGTAAGTGGATGGACTGGCAGCGAGCCACAGGAGAAGTGTGACTGGTGGCTTGGTTCACGATCCTTGGGGAGAGCTGGACCCCCATCTGGAAGAGCACAGGGCTGGTGATGCAGCCTGGATTCCTCATTTCTGAGTTGTAATCACTGTGCAGGGATTTTGCTATTAGTAAAAGGTAATGCAATCCTCAGACTTCCTTCCTTAGCCCTTGGCTGGAGAGTTTACCCTCCGTCATCAAAGCCAGCAGTTTAGTGTGTTCTCGCCCATCTGAACCCCATCTCTCTCAAACTCTGGCTTGCCTACCTTTTCTGAAACACCTTTACATCACTAGTTCTTTTCGGCTGCCCCAGGATGCCCTCCCCCTCCTCACACCCTGAACACCATCTCCAAATCCTAGTTGCCATGAAAAGTAACGTGTGCTGGGTTGTTTTATGTCAACTTGACACACACAGGCTGGAGTCATCTGAGAGGAGGAACCTCGACAGAGGAAAAAAGCCTCCTAATATCAGTGGATTCTATAAAGTGGGCTGATCAAGCCATGGTGAACAAATCAGTAATCAGGGCCCCCTCATGGCCCCTGCATCAGCTCCTGCCTCTAAGTTCCTGCCCTGTGTGAATGCCTGTCCTTGCTGCTTTTGAAGATAAACTGTTATTTGTAACTGTGGGTGAAATAAAACCTATCCCCACCAAGTTGCTTTTGGTCATTTTGTTTTATCACAGTTGTAGTGCAAGGGGGGGTGTTCTTCTGTATATATGCTTCTCTTATTGGTTGATGAATAAAACATTGGTTGGCCAACAGCCAGGCAGGAAGTATAGGTGGAGTTACCAGATGAGAATTCTGGGGAGAGGACGCAGAGAGGAACTGAGAGGAGACACCATAGCTACTGGGGAGATAGGGCTCACCAGACGTTCTTTGGTAAAATAAGGCCATGTAGAAAGACACAGATTAGTAGTTATGGGTTAATAATTAAGGGAGAACTAGCCAGTAAGGAGCCCTAGCCATCAGCCAAATAGTTTATAATTAATATAAGTCTCCCTGCGTTTATTTGGGACTAATCAGCAGCAGGACCAGGCGGAAAAGAAACTCAGTCTGCAACAGTGATCCTAACTAAGACAAACATGCTCAGCCTGCAGAGATTAGAGTGTGGACTTCTTCTGCCTACAAAACAGCATTGGGAGACTTTGCAGCTATCTTTCTCTCTCTTAGTCACAGATGGGGAATAACCGACAGGCCCTTTGTGGTGAGGGTAGGCTTATCACTCTGGCGCACAAGGCGCTGAAAAGAGCCCACTTGTGAGGAGCAGACATGTCAAGAAACATGCTGGAACCTGTGACTCTGAGCAAAGCCCTACATTGTGGAATTCCCCATGCTTGCAGTCAGAGGGCATAGGAAGGAATGACTGAGTGAGGATGTGAGTGAGGATGTGAGGCAAGCTTTTTATGTGGTATACGGTAAGCACACAGGCCAGAGGATAATTATAAAAAAAATAAAATTTTAAATTGTATTTGCATTTATTTATTGTGTGTGTATATATTAGGGATCAGAGGACAATTGGTAGGAGTCGGTTCTCACCATGTGGAGTCTGGGGATGGAAATTGAGTCCTCAGGGTTGATAGCATGACCCTTTACCCACCGAGCCATCTCACAGGCCCTGCCCTCTTCTGGCCTTTGCAAACATCCTTGAATACATGCTTACACACATATGTGCATATACATAAGTAAAAGTAAAAGCACTTGGGAGGCAGAGGCAGGCAGATCTCAGTGAGTTCGAGGCAAGCCTTGTCTGCAGAGCAAGTTCCAGAACAACCAGGACCATTACACAGAGAAACCCTGTCTTGAACCCCCAAATAATAATAATAATAATAATAATAATTTTAAAATATTACAAATCTATGTGCTGTATGAGCATTAAAACCCACAACAAAATACTAGCTAGTGAAAACTCTTTAAACAAAATACCAGCACAGTGAATTGATTGTTATGGTTTTAATTTAAAATATCCCTCACACGTTTTTAAGCTTGCTTTTAGCAGAACCTCACACAGATGAGCTGGCCTCCAGCTTACCATGCAGTTGAAGATGACTCTCAACTCTTGACCCTCCTGTATTTATCAACCATGTGTCTCAAAACCTTTTCCCCAGATGGCCTTGGCTTGGTTCCTAGGGACCTTCTAATGTAATGTTTTAAAACTTGTCTTTTTTTTTTGTCTTGTTTTTTTTTTGTTTGTTTGTTTGTTTTTCTCTGTAGACCAGGCTGGCTTTGAACTCACAGAGATCTGCCTGCCTGCTTCTGCCTCCAGAGTGCTAGGATTAAAAGCATGCACTACCTATACCTGACAAAATTGTTGTTCTTGATATGATAGTTCCTCACAAGCAGGCTGTGAGTGTACACACGCACCTGCTCTGTGCCCCAGTGCCTAGGGTATGACTCTGAAGCTCAGCCTCCATTTCCCAGTCTGTTGTCATGTCTGCTGTTCTACACCATCTACTGGGATGCTGCTCGATTGTACAGGCTGAGCAGCTGTAGGTGGGAGCCTGCACAACAGCTGTCTTGTTCATAGTGACATGTGGATTTTCCCACAGCCACTCTATTAATCATGAAACTGTTGGCTGATGGCTTGAGCTTCTTCTAAATTATTAACCCATATTTGTTTTGTTTTGTTTTTAAGATTTATTCATTTATTATGTACACAGTGCTCTGTCTGCATGTATCCCTCAGGCCAGAAGAGGGCACCATGTCTCATTTCAGATTGTTGTGAGCCACCATGTGGTTGCTGGGAATTGTACTCAGGACCTATGGAAGACCAGCTAGTGTTCTTAACCACTGAGACATCTCTCCAGTCCTTAACCCATATCTGTTAATCTATGTATTGCCAGGAGGCTGTGACTTACCCATAATCCAGCATGTTACTCCTTCTGCAGCAAGGTGACTCTACTCCACCTCTCTCCCCAGCATTCTCCTTGTCCCCTAGCCCCGCCTACCTTTCTGCCTGGCCAATCAGTGTTTTATTCATCAACCAATAAGAGAAACATATACAGAAGGACATCCCCCCCACCAGTGATATGATACAATGAACAAGAAGGGTAGCCCAGGAAGGGACCCGCAACATACAAAAGTCATCATTATGACAGATCACATTCAGAGGGTGAAGGAAAACACTTGATGACTTTTAATACATGGTACAGAAAAGACATGACAGAAGACAGGAGGCTCAGCAGTTAAGAGAGCTTGCAGCTCTTCCAGCTCTTCCGGAAGACCAGTGTTCAGTTCCCAGCACTCACCTTGGACGACTCACAACCACATGTAACTGCAGCTCACAGTCCTCTTCTGGCTTCCTCAGGCACCTGCACACAGGCCCCTGTACACAAGTGGTATGCATGTACACACACACACACTACACACACACAAACACACAGGGGTGTGAAAGTATTTAAGAAGAGAAAAACATAACAAAACTCATTCTTTTTTCTTTTATTTTTATTTTTGTTTTGTTGTTGTTGTTGCTGTTGTTTTGTTTTTTGATGTGTTTTTGTTTTGTTTGTTTGTTTGTTTGTTTGAGACAGGGTTTCTCTGTGTAGCTGTGTAGCTCTGGCTGTCCTAAAACTAACTCTGTAAACCAAGCTGGCCTCTTGAACTCACAGAGATCCACCTGCCTCTGCCTCCCAAGTGCTGGGATTAAAGGTGTGCGCCACCACCACCTGGCATAAAGCTCATTCTTGATTAAAAAAATAATAACCAGGCAGTGGTGGCACACACTTTTAACCCCATTACTTGGCAGGCAGATCTCTGTGAGTTCAAGGCCAGCCTGGCCTAAAGAGTGAGAGTTCCAGGATGGCCAGGACTGTTACACAAGAAACCCTGTCTCAAAAAAAAAAAAAAAAAAAAAAAAAAAAAAAGCAGCAGCAACAACTGCAAAGTGACATCACTGAACATGACCTGCAAAGAGATAATTAATATAGACAAAGAATCCCACCAGCCTAGAGGACAGCAAAGCAAGGTGAAAAAAACCGGCAACAGGTTTTGAGTATTTTCTGTTGTGTCATTCTTGAATTAGTAAGCTGGGTAGGTGTGAGGAAGCATTCCTAAAAACCCAGCTCCCAGGAGGTTGACGAAGAAAGATAATGTTTCCTAGGCCACCCTGGGCTACATGGTAAATGAGTGATATTTCTGGCCAAAATAGCCATTTAAGACAAGAACTGAGACAAAATGTTGTTATGAGCAGTTTTCCTGCCAGCCTGGTCCCATAGCTGCATCAGCCCCAAATAACACACAGAGATGCTGTATTAGATATAAAGCTGTTGGCCTGTTATTAGTGTTTCTTATTGGCTAGCTCTGTCTTAAATATTATCCCATTTCTATCATTTTAAGTATTTCCATGTAATGACATCTCCCATCAAAATGTGTATTAATCCTGTGAAAACAAATCCAAAGAAAGAATGAACCAAAAGCAATCAAGCTACCAGCTGCTGTGAAAGGCTGGTTGCTCCTCACCAGAATTCTGGCGAGATTCACCCTTCACTCTAGGCAGGCTGGACTGAAGAGTCCGCCCTGCCTTCCTGAGGAGAGGGCTGGACTCTGAAGCCTCTGCTCCTGAAGTCCAGCTTATAGGACTTGATACTCGACCTGCCCACTGACACTCAACCTCCTGCTGGAGGCTGCCCTCTAGTGGCCCGTTTGGTAAATTAAGACTATTTGTGTGTGTGTGTGTGTGTGTGTGTGTGTGTGTGTTCATGGTTTCTCTGTAGCTTTGGAGCCTGTCCTGGAAATCACTCTATAGGCCAGGCTGGCCTCGAACTCACAGAGATCCACCTGCCTCCTAGTGCTGGGATTAAAGGTGTGCATAATCACTGCCAGCTTGCACTCTCATTCTTCAGACCTGTCACTGACCTTACAATCTGATCTTTACAAATCCCTTGACCACACTGACAACATGTAAACTGTGGGTGAATGGTACACCTCAGCACCCAACTATCTCTTCTTCCATTTGAAGGGGACAGTTAGATACATTGCCTAAGTTCTGTTTCACTGGGGTGAGGGGTTCCCTTCACCAACCTCAGAGTTGTGAATTTTAACATCACTGTCTATGTATCACAGCCAGAGATAATTTAGTTAAGCAGCTCAGCTGGCAGGTGTTCAGGGTAACACATCACAGCCTGCATCTAAGATGGACACACCATTGAGGAGCTCAACTGGGCCAGGTCTACTTTGTCCTCAATACCTTTGGTAGTGGTTCAGATGCAATGCTTGCCAGACTATAGTTATTCAAACCACAGATGACTCGAAGTCACCCTAGCACCGCAGCAGACTGGCACCCCAGACTCACTGCAATTCCACCTCCCAATGTCCCAGTGTCAAGGACAGTGTACAGCGGCCGGCATTAGGTAATGCCAGACAACTGCCTACATTTGTCAGCCTGCACCCCATGCAGGACTTCCTGGTGTCCCCTAGTGGCACAAAATTAGAGGGGTACCATCACTCGACCTTGGAAGCTCCATCAGGATCAGTGCCCAGCAGCTTCAGCTGCAAAGCCAACACCATAAGAGGACACCACAAGAAAAGGAAGGACATGTGTATCCCACTTCCTCCCAGCTCTCTGAAAACCCAGGGAGAGAAAGGGTCACGAAGGGGGGAATCGACCAAGATGTTCCATGCAGGGACCGCCTTTATCAGCTGCCCTGCCTATCAAGGAATCCAACCAGAAAACACTCTAGGCTGCTAGGCTGCTGTAACTATACTACTGTGCATGCCGGGGCCCAGGTTCTATCACCACATGGGAGGAGAACAAAAAAAAAAAAAAAAAAAAAAAAAAAAAAAAACGTAAACTCTTTAAAATGGATGGCATCACCTAGAGGTGACAGACAAGTGGTGGGAGAAGGGACTGGTCCCTCTCCAACCAGAGAATACAGAAGGGCACGAGGTGAGCAAAATCCTGCTGCTCTTTAGTGTGGCTGTCTCCTTCTCAAAGCATCCCATTCTCTGTACGATCTTTTCATCTGCTTTCATTATCAGCCTAGCAGCAAAGAGAAGTAATGGAGGTGGGTCCGGAATAGTTAGCTCCTATCAAGCAAGATATTATTAAACACTTAATGTGGGGCTGGAGAGATGGCTCAGCGATTGAGAGCAGTGGCTGCTCTTCATTCAGGAGGATGGGGGTTCAATTCCAAGGACCCACACGGTGGCCCTCACACCTGTCTAACTCCAGTTCCAGGGGATCCAACACCATTGCATATAAATTTTTAAAAGTTAATTTTAAAAAAAATGAAGGAAGCCTGGTGTTGGTGGTGCACTTTAATTCCAGCACTCGGGAGGCAAGGCAGGTGGATCTCTGTGAGTTCGAGGGCAGCCTGGTCCTCAGAGCGAGTTCCAGGGTAGTCAGTGCTATACAGAGAGACCAAACCCTGTCTCGAAAAACCAAACTAAAAAGTTTAAAAAAAAAAATCCTTACATCACATTTTTTTTTAATGCCCATCCCTTTCCTTTTATTCTCCCACTTCTACTGGCTACCTTTTTCTTCCCAAAGTGTTTTTAAAATTCTATGCTTTTTGTTTGTTTGAAACGGGATAGCTCTGGCTGGCTGGGAACTCGAGCTGTAGAGCAGGCTGACGTCACACTCACAGAGAGCCGCCTCTCTGCCCTCCCTCCCTCCAGTGCTGGGATTAAAGGAGGGGGCCACCGGCGTGCCGGTCACCATTCAGCCAGAGGATAGCTGCGTCTTTCCTAAGGCATCTCCTTGTCTTTGAGACAAGTTTCTCGTTGTACTGGCACTCACTCAGTAGGCTAGAGCGGCTCGCTGAGTGGCCCCGGGAGTCAGCCTGCCGCTTCCACTCAGCTGAGTTTTCAAACACAACCCACCACACTTCTCTTTTTCACGAGATTTCTACGGATCGACCTCACCAGTCCCGTGCTGCAAGCAAAGCACCGAGGGGGCAACCGCGTATTCTAAAACACCGTGCCACATATTTCAAACAAGCGCAATTTTGTCAGTTAGGTCTAAATAAGTAAAGCCGGAGTGTGATGGAGGAGAAGGGAGGGAATTAAAATCGAGGCCGGAAAAAAATCAAAAGTACTAGAGAAAGGGCTCCAAGCTGGAAAAGTTTGAGGATTGTAGTTTTTTTCTCGTTTTGATAACCGCAATTTCTAACAAGAAGCAACTTTCAAAGGTCTATTTCAACAGAGCAAGTTCCAGGACAGCAAAGAACAGCTAAGGCTACACAGAGAAACCCTGTCTTGAAAAACAATCAGAAATAACAAAAAATAAAAGGTTTATTTTGGCTTACCGTTTAAGGAGAAACACGCGGAGCTTGTAATATGGCGATCGGTCTTTGGACATAAAGAAAGCAGATGTGAAGGGGAACCCCACCTAAAAACCTTGACTTCCCAATTGCAGTGGCCTACTTACTTCATCAAGGCTCCACCTACTAGAGGTTCCACGAAACGAAACCGCTCACCACTGGGCTCCAAACATTGAAACACATGAGCCTAGTGGGGACAATTGCACTCAAAAGATAGGCTGTTAGGCGGCTAGAAATTAACTCCAGCTGGGCGGGGGAAGCGCACGCCATTAATTCCAGCACTTGGGAGGCAGAGATAGGTGGCTCTCAGAGTTCGAGGCCCGCCTGGTCTACAGAGAGAGTTCCAGAACATTCAGGGCTACAAAGAGAAACCCTGTCTCAAAAAACCAAAACAAGGAAAGGAAAAAGGAAGGGGAGGGAAGGGAAAGGGAAAGGAAAAGGAAAGAATACATGTATTTTAGTAATTTCTCTTTATAGCCCAGCAGTGGTAGTGCACTCATTTAATCTCAGCACTTGGGAGGCAGAGACTGGTGCATCTCTGAGGGAGTCCCATGCCAGCCTGGTCTATGTATATGCATGTAGATCTGTCTGAGGGTATGTGTGTGTGAGTGCAGTTGCCAACAGAGGCCGTATGTGTTCAATTCCCTGGAGATGGAACTACAGTTATAAACTGACCAACATGGGTGCTAGCAATCAAACCAAGTTCCAGTACCCTGGAAGAGCTGAGGCATCTCTCCAACCTCTAATTTTTATTTTTTTGAGATAGGGTCTTACTATATAGCCTTGGCTGACCTGGAACTCACTATGTATAGCAGGCTAGCCTCAAACTCACAGAGATCTAACTGTCTCTGCCTTGCACCACCACACCCAGCTTTTTATTGGTGTGTGTGTGTGTGTGTGTGTGTGTGTGTGTGTGTGTGTAAGTATATCCAGAGTCCAGAAGAAAGTGTTGGATCTTCTGGAATTGCTGTTACAGGTCATTGTAAGCTGCCTGACCTGAAACAAACCCACATCAGAGAACACTCTTGTTTGTTTGGTTTGGGTTTTGTTGTTGTTGTTATTGTTCTTTTGGTTTGGTTTAGACAAAGTTTCCCTGTGTAGCCCTGGCTGTCCTAGAACTTGATCTGTAGACCAGGCTGACCTCAAACTCACAGAGATCCACCTGTGTCTGCCTCCTGAGCGCTGGGATTAAAAGTGTGTACCACTACTGCCCAACTAACAAGCAAGTATACTCCTAACTGCTGAGCCATCTCTCCAGTCCTATTCTTCAAAATTAAAACTTAAAAAACTAGCCGGATGGTGGTGGCGCACACCTTTGATTCCAACACTTGGCAGATCTCTGTGAGTTCAAGGCCAGCCTAGCCTATAGAGCAAGTGCCAGGACAGGCTCCAAAGCTACACAGAGAAACCCTGTCTTGACCCCTCCCCCAAAAAAAAACCTAGAAATAATTTCCATACTATTCTAATTTTTACACTATAACAGAAGAATCCTGGGCTTTAGATAATTAGTGTCATTTATGTATGTATGTATTTATTTATTTATTTATTCATTTGCTTTTTCCTAAGAATCAAAAGGTTCTCACACTTCATGAGGGATCTGAACTGGAGTTACAGATAGTTGTGAGCCACCATGTGGGTGTTGGGAATCAAATGCAGGGTCTCTTAACCACTGAACCCTCTTTCTATCCCCAAGATAAACTTTTTTAAACTTCCCAAACTTTGTTGTGTCATCATTCAAATTCAGCTTTAATATTTAATTAAAAGTCATTGAAACCTGCTATGAACAGAAGAATGAAGCTAAATGTTTAAACGCAATAGCAGACCAGGCAGTGGCGGTACACACCTTTATTCCGAGCAGCACTTGGGAGGCAGAGGCAGGTGGATCTCAGTGAGTTTGAGGCCAGCCTCATCTACAGAGCCAGTGCCAGGACAGCCAGGACTGTTTCACAGAGAAAACCCTGTCTCAAAAAATAAATAAATAAATAAATAAATAAATAAAAATAACACTCAGGAGGCAGAGGCAGGTGGATCTCTGTGAGTTCGAGGCCAGCCTGGTCTGCAGAGCTACACAGAGAAACCCTGTCTCAAAAGACTAAAATAAATAAATAAATAAATAAATAAATAAATAAAGCAGTAGCTACCCAATAGCTCAAAGATAATTTTCAATTGTTTTATGAGATAAGGTCTTGTTACTTAGCCCAGAATATCCTACAAATCCACAGCAATCTTCTTGTGTAGCCTAGAGAGCAGGATTTAAAGGCACACACCACAGCCCTGCTGTGACAAACTCGATTTTAGGGTTTCCTCTGCACTGCTATGACGCAGCTTCACCAGTAGGTGGCACTGCAAACTTGAGGGTTGGGAGGGAAGACCCTTAGGTCACGGCTGCTGGGGTCTCCTGGAGTTCCAAGAGACTCAGACCTTGGTGTTTTTCCTGCTGCTGTAGTTACTCATCACTACTTGCTGGTACATAGATATTTCAACACATGACTGAGCTGCACCAGCACAGTCGTCTGAACGTCACTGCCAGTTACAGCAGCAGCATGTGGATACTGGGAACCCTGGAAGAGAGAAGCAAGTGCTCTAAACAGCTGGCATCCTCTCCACCCACAGCCAAATTCCTTAACAGTGCATCCTTACTCCAATGCATGCACCTCCATCCACTAGATTATTACTTAGTCTTCTGAACTCACCTCTCCAACCACTTCATTGCACCACCCCCATACCTGTAAAATCATTGCCTTCAACACCTTCCTCTGGTCACTCTCTCCTCCCTGTCCTATGCAGTCCAGGTTTTCTCTAACTGGCTGACTCCTCTTCCCAGATAGGAAAAGTCTGTAAATTCTCCACTTTCTTCCTGGCCAGGTTCTCGGCTCACACTAAACTCTGTAGGTGACCTATTCCTTGCCTCCTCCCACCTCTATGTTAATGGTTACAAACATCTCCAGGCAGCACCTCTTCCTTCAAGTTCCACTTGTACATGCTATCTCTGGAAATTGCCAAGTCAGATGCATGATATATATACACCCTTGACTTACTCTCCCACCAACACAGACAGACACACTGCAAAATAAGCCAACAATCTATCTACATCCTGAATTTACTTACAACTGCCTTCTTTCCACTGGTTCTGGTTTGATTTCCTCCTAGGATGGCTACAAACCTCTCTGGTCATGTTCCCTTTCCAAACCAGTATCTATGTTGCAACCACAGTGGTCTACGGCCAATTAATTTTCTGCCTTTTAGTCACAGGGCTAAAATTTCAATTCTTTTATTTGTTTTTGCAACAGTCTCATTGTGAAGCTCTGGCTGGATTGAAACACAGGTCCTTTTGCCTCTGCCTCCCAAGTGCTGGAATTAAAGGTGTGCCTCAGCACTTCTAGCTCCATGGCTAGTTCCTAAGCATCTTTAATGTAGCTGGAGACCTCCACCACCTTTCCCATCTCCCTTGTACTCACTGTCCCAGACATGCTGAGTGTTAGGCTTCCAAGGTTGTCATAGGCCTTGACCTTCAACCCCAGTGCACACACTGTGGCTTTTCCTGTCTCACTCCCTCCTGCCTTCTCTTCTGTAATTTCTCCACTTTCTTCATTTCCCAGGTTTGCTGTTCATGCTACACTGTACATAATGTTACTCTCCTCCCTTCTCTACTGTACAAATAGTCCACTGGCCTAACACAATACCTTCAGTTTCTTTCATGGGTGGAGTCTGGCTGCACCGTCAGGTGTCCCCACAGCAGTCTTTATCAGGGGACTTTTCTCAGCCTTGCACAACTACTCTAAGACCCAGCTCCCAGAGCCATGGAGATGGCAACACAAGCTCCAGGCACTGAGTTCAGGTCCCCAGCACTTCTGTAAAAAGCCAGGTGTGGCAAGGTGTATGTTAATCCTAGCACTTTGGAGAATCCCTGGAGTTTAGCAGCTGGCCATTTTAGCCAATTAATGTGCTCCAAGTCCAGAGAGGACCTTACCTAAAAAAGAAAAAACGAAGGAGGGCATTGACTCCTGCCCTCCATGTCTGCACATGCCAGCTTCCAGCTGTGTCCCAGAGCTTTCAGATTAGGACCCCAGAGGGTCCTCTACCACCCTTCTCCTAGCACTTACCACATTTAAAAAAAATAGTTGTTTTATTGCTTTCATCACTTAATAAACCATGAGCTCCACAAGGGGCCACTTTTACCCTTCTTACCAACTAGCAGTGATTGATGGGTACTCAACAAATGTTCAGTAGGTAAATGAATCCCCAGAGTTCACAGTACTCTTCACCCTAACTATGACAGTTAAGTGGTACATGCAAATAACTTGTTACCAGGGGTGTTTTGTTGCTCTGTGTTCTGCTGGGATTAGACACTTATTCAAAATATTTTTTGTTCCATAACTTCTGGCAAATAGTTTTCAACTTTTGTGGATTGCATCACTGGTTCTGACGCTGGCTAACTGGACTCCCCTGGACCACACACAGCTATCTGCTTCAGAATGAGAGCTATATTAAACAATATTCTTGCCTCAAAGAGTCTTGGCTTTCTGCTAGACTGGCTAGCTGCATGTCAGAGCCTCAGGCCGCTATAGTCAGGTACCCACTTAGTGGATACAACCCAAGCAGGAGAAAGTGAGGAAAGGTCTGGGCATCTGAGCATGGGAGGGAAACAGAAGTTGCTCCCCAGCCTCAGGTGCTGATCTAGGACATGACTTTCCTTCTCCCTGACCTATCTGTCACTAAGACAGCTATTTGCCTGGTATTTATTTTCCTATGAGCAAGCCACTGACAGTGGCCAATCTTTAAAACAGTATTGACTCCTGCAATGTCTTCAGCTCAAGTCCATTGTGT